CTATTCTATTCTATTCTATTCAGTTGCTTGGCTGCAGACAAGAGAGTGATGTTTACTATTTACAATTCATAATTTTGCTATAGTTCAAATCACACTTTTGAGAACAGCCAGTAATATTTTAAACAAGATGTCCTTCACCATTCCATTTCTTATGAATAGCTTTTTCAAGTATTCTTGTAGTCACAGAACACAATGTACTGAATTTCATGAAAAATGTGATATTAGTGTTGTAATTTTACACTCTGGAGCTACTGAATGCGTATATCGAAGACATAATGAAGTATAAAGAGTTGCAATAATACATACAGTTATGGTTATCACTTCTTGGTTTGTTGCTAAGAATAATGCCTTGTGTAGTTTTTGAATTTGAATTTCAAGCTTTCATTATAGTTCTGCTCAGTGGTAGCTGGCATTCACTGGATCAGTTGAAAAAGACAGCTTGGGAGACCACAAAGTAAGGCATACAAATTCAAAACAAGAAATGGTTGGGTTCGGACAATTCTCTTAACTAAGTCAGTGTAAGACCTAGCAGATGTACTCATACGATGTACTAAGTTGGGTTAGTGTTAATGTTGGTTTGGCTTTTTATAGCTCTAATATACTGTGAGAACCCACACTCTTCAATTGAAGAGTGTGGATTCTCACAGCATACTAAGCTGTATAAAATCAAACCAACATTAACACTAACCCAACTTAGTACGTTATATGAGTACATCTTCTAGGTCCTCCTCCTCCTCCTCCTCCTCCTCCTCCTCTTCTTTTCTCCTCCTCTTCCTTCTTCTCCTCCTTCTCCTCCCTTCTCCTTCCTCCTCCTCTTCTTCTTCATCTTCTTCATCTTTTTCATCATGACTTGGAAGGGACCTCAAGTCCAACCCCCTGCTCAAATAGGAGACCCAATACCATTTCAGACAAATCTGTTCTTAAAAGCCTCCAGTGATGGAGCACCCACAACTTCTGAAGCTGTCCCACTGATTATTTTAATTTTTCCTTAGTTGTAGGTTGTTTGGTTAGTTTCCATCCATTGCTTCTTGTCTTGCCTTTCCCTTCCCCCTTCCTTTGCATCCCTCAAATATCTTCCAAGAATTAAAACTTTGGAATACACAATGTTGATGGCTGATAGCATCTGTGAGTAATCCCTGTACTTTTGTCAAGTACAATGACTAAACTGAATAATGTAAGTCTCAATGACTATATAAAAGATAATAATTGTACCGGTTCCACACCCTTTGAAGAATATGTGCTTTATTATGAAAATATATTTGATCTTCACAAGGCGGTAAATTATAGTATTTATGGAATCTTAATGATCTAAGCGCAGTTGGAGCCTGAAGGTCAAGACTGCAAACAGCATCCTAAATTTCTGTTTACCAATGAAGCTTTGTATTTATTACAGCACTGTTTTTGCTGTTATAGTTAAAGGTCTGCCAGCATTTCCATTATAAACCACTATTTCAGAGGTTTATAACTCAGTCATAAATCTCTGCTCCAGAATGAAACACAGTGCAAAACAAGGACTCCGGTGTGGGAGTATTTTTTTCTCCCCTTCTATTTCTTTCTCATTTTCTATATGGAAATTCATATTTTTTTAAATGTACAAGCCAGAGGTGGTATTCAGCAGGTTCTGATCAGTTCTAGAGAACCAGTAGCAGAAATTTTGAGTAGTTTTGAGAACTGGCAAATACCACCTCTGACTGGCCCTGCCCCCATCTATTCTCTGCCTCCCAAGTCCCAGCTGATCAGCTGGGTCTTCTTTGGTTGCCTTGTACAGGAGAATGGAGCTGGAAAGCAAGTTAATGGGGTGGGGAATGAAATTTTGCAGTAAGCTTCCCCTGAAGTGGGATGGGAATGGAGATTTTACAGTATCCTTCCCCTGCCACGCCCACCAAGCCATGCCCACCAAGTCACGCCATGCCACGCTCACCAAGCCACACCCACAGAACCAGTAGTAAAAATGTTTGAATCCCACCACTGGTAGAAGCCATCTAAAATATTGAAGATGAACAATCAACTCTCAGTGGATTCAATGGAATGTATATTTTTCAGAAATAAGAATCGGGGCTGGTTCAATATGCTTCCACCTTAAGAAGAGAAACCAAATGAAGTCTATTGTTTAATACATTGTTTCAACTTTTATGAATATCCACACATATTAATGTCAGGATATTATAGAATTTTTCTCTCCAGAGTTTTTAACTGAAGATGCCAGATGCTTTTTGCTGTGGATATGGGACTTCTAAAGCTCTAAGATACTCAGTGTTAAAATAAGCCATGAATAAACCATTTCTTTATTTTTGATAACCTGTTTACAAGAAGCTTGCCAGATTGATTGCATCCCCATATAAACTGGCAGATAAGGTCTTCACAAATCCAGCCTATGTCATTTCCTCCCTCAAAGAAGCTTTAGCTGCTACATTATTTTTTTACTCTGTCTTTTAGTTGGTGATTCCACCACAGTTGAACTTATGAATGCTGGCTGAAAATGTTAGGTGATTGAAGGCTAAATGGTGTAGATGACTTTGCTGTAGTAAAGAAATGGGCCATCCATGGGCTCTAATACAAATAAATATATTTGGACATTGCAGATACACCATTCTGGAAAAGATGCAGCTGCTTTAAAAGGTTGAGGACATATACCACATAATCAGCTCTGGGGTCTCCTTTTCCCTCTTTAAATCTAATGCATTACCACCATCTTTCATGATGCCTCCAAGACCTCCCTATCATCTGAGCTGCCATTCTTAGAATATAATAATAATAATAATAATAGGAAACAATGATAGTAAAAGTGAAAATGACTAAAAAACAAAATAAACAAAATAATAAATTGGATACACACTGGATTTCATGGAACATCTACAAAAATTGCAACGTCCTAGAAATGAACAATAGGCAGGAATGTTTGGTTGAAAAAGTAGTTGCAAATGGGTTAAAATATTATGGATTTCTGAATGCAAACTGATTAAAGCTTGGCTCATAACATCAGATATAACTGTGATTAAAAAGAAGAAAATGTGGATAAATAGATGTGGCAATAAAAGACAAGAAATTGAAGATCACAAAGTTTCAAGACCTGAAAATTGAAACCGAAATATTATGGCATAAACTGGCTGTGGTGTCCCCAGCAGTTATCAACACACTGGATGCCATACCAGAAAATCTTGGACAGTCCTTAGAAAATCTGCGCTTTGAAAAAATCTCTATCTGTCAATTGCAAAAGTCTACATTGGTTAGATTTGCACATATAGTTCACTGATACATTACAATGTCCTAGTTTTGGGGAAGAACTTGATGCTTATGAAGGCCAACACCAGCTAAAGAACTGATAGCTGTGATTTCACATTGTTGTGTCTATAATAATAATGTTTATCAACTATAACCTAATAGACAGCTTGCTTTTAAAAAGTGTGTCCCCTACAAAAAAGACCAAAATAATCTTCCACTTATTTTCTTTGGTAGCAATACATCTCAATAACGATGATGTTCTACTGAACTGTTACAAATTTACATGCTGGATTTCTTTGTTATGCATTTCCTTCAGTGGTATTTTACTATATGTACAATAATATAACAAGATGCATAGCAAGGTAGCTACAGAAGACAAGTAAAATGACTATACTAGTTGACATAAGGATGTGAAGTTCTGCTTTTACCTGTAAAAACCTGGTGGAACACCTGAAACTAAGAAGTTTTTCTCGAGACTCTGCAATATGTCATTCAACATCCTGATACGGTCAGGAGCTCTTTCTTTTGGGTCATTGGCTGGCCGCATCTCATCTGATTGAAACAATTCTGCACTCTCCCGTAAAGCATAGGCCACCTTCAGCAAATTGCCAACATTATGAGGGTCGTCTGTTAAGAAAGGAATATAATACAAAAATACTTAGCTTTATTGAAATGCTGGGTTACTGATTCATTTTATTATGATACACAACTCAGGAGTTTTACACAACTCAGGAGGGATTGACTGCTAGTCTGGGATGTTGTCTACATTTCCAGTGGTATACAAGAAGTAGTCCAGTTGTACACAGTTGGCACCTGTAGCATATACTGCTTAAAACATAAAGTCTATCTGGGATACTGATTTCAAATTAGTCTAAGCCTAGTATCGAGGTCAGTGTTTCTTGTCCAGATGTGGTATTCAGCAGGTTCTGACCAGTTCTGGAGAACCAGTAGCAGAAATTTTGAGTAGTTCAGAGAACCAGCAAATACGACCTCTGACTGGAGATTTTGCAGTATCCTTCCCCTGCCACGCCCACCAAGCCATGCCCACAGAACCGGTAGTAAAAAAAAAATGAATCCCACCACTGTAGTCTTGGTAGGTGGAAGATGTGAGGACTACAACACCCAGAATTCCACAACCAGAATGCTGATCTAGAAGATTCTTTAGAAGATTCCCATCTGAGTATTAAAGGGAGGTGCCATTCTCTCTCTTGACTGCAACATGGGCCATGGTTCCAATAGCTATAGCTGAGTTTACCTGAAAGTCTCTTTTAAACTATGTCATAATAATCTGCTTGGAAAAAGAACAACACATTGAAATGTGTTGCTTTAAAATTATTTCTTTTGCTGAATGCAGGAATTTAATAATTGATTTTTTTATTTTTATTTTTTAAATTAAGAGTTGTACTGGAATATACAAGCCAAACCATTGGCAGATAAATAAGTTTTGATCTTTAGATTTCTGGAAAGCATAGGGCAGCTTAAATATATGTCAACTAGAAACATGCAGTGTAAGTTTATCTATTGAGTGTAAGTTTATCTCTCTCTCTCTCTCTCTCTCTCTCTCTCTCTCTCTCTCTCTCTCTCTCTCTCTCCATTATCCATCTATACACTTATACACTGTGTGTGTATGTGTGCATCTCTCTCTCTCTCCCCCCCCATCTCTGTCTCTGTACACTAAATTTGTACACATTTTGCACTTAATTTCCCTGATATATGCCTTTTTATATGTGGTTTTCCTAAATCTAAATATTTTGTATGAATTTTTCTATCTGTTCTTCAGATATAACCATTCTTCTAATATTGTTCATATCCATTCTCTCATGAACATAATGTTAGGTGTTAGATAAAAGGAAAGAAAGAAATAATATGTAGGCAATAAACAAAATTCTTTTGTATATAGAGTCATTCTTTTTATAAACAAGTCATACTGGTCATACATTTATAATTTATGGATTTCATTAGTCAATCAATCAATCAATCAATCAGAATAGAGCTGGAAGGGACTTTGGAGGTCTTCTATTCTAACCCCCTTCTCAAGCAGGAGACCCTATACCATTTCAGACAAGTGGCTGTCCAGTCTTTTCTTAAAAAGCTCCAATGATGAAGCACCCACAACTTCTGAAGCCAAACTATTCCACTGGTCAATTGTTCTCACTGTTACGAAGTTTTCCATATCGTAAAACCATTATCAGTCAAGATTCAGTTCTTCAATCTTGGATAATGTGATCTAGATAGAGGAAAAAGGACAGATTTTTTTCCCCTCCAAATTTGGAATCAATTCTTCTATCCTCCGTTTCCCCCCCTTATCCAGGGGTGGGATTCAACCGGTGTTACTACCGGTTCGGTGACTATGTTTTGCGTGCACATGCGTGCTTCGTGCACACGTGTGCTAGACGCACGCTGTGCATGCGTGTAACAACCCTTAAGCTGTGCCACCCAGACAGCTGAAAAGCACTGCGTGTGGGTGCACAGAGTTTGAAAAGCCTCTTTTCCCCTGCTTTTTCTACCTTTTTTTGCTGCGCAAAGCAGCTGAGGTTGAAAAAGCAGGAAATAAGGGACAGGTAAGAGCCCGGGCGGCGGGTGGGCCAAACAACAGCGAACACAGATTCAGTTTCTGCTGCTCTTCAGAGCTACCAGTTCTATGGAGCCAGGCAGAACTGGTAGCATCCCACCCCTGCCCCTATCCATTCTATTTTTCACAACAGGAACCCTATGAGGTTGGCGGGACTGAGAAAGGAAGCAACTGAACCAAAGCTATCCAGTGAGCTTCACAGGTGTGTTTGGATTGGAATCCAGGTCTCCTGAGCCTATTTCAGTATCTTCATTGCTGAATCCCAACATTTTAAAAAAAATTTCTTTGAGGAAATGGAGGTCAAATAATGTGGTTCTGCCTAATTAGGGATTTTAGGCATCACCGAAGGGATGTTGGACTTCAATCTAGACTTTTTGCACCCCTGACTTAGACACTGACCATTGACTTTTAATTGGACTTTAATTCCACAAGCAAGGGCTTGAAGACAAAGATTTGTGGAATATACTTTAACACTGAGTGAAAAATCAATCTCTTAAAAATATTTATCAAAGTTGAAATACTCTGCTATTTTCCCAAGCAGATAGCCATTGAATTGGAAGATATTAATATTTTAAATAATAAGCTGTTTATGCTCAGTTCCCACATCAAGCTAAATCAGAATAACAAAAGCAACCAGTATCCACAATATGATCTTGGGCATGTATCCTCTATTTTTGAGGAGAATGTTAAGAATTATTTTGAATTATTTACCTCATTGATAAGGAAACAAGAAAAGAAACCTATGGAATGAAATAATATAATTCTTAAGGACAAATATGAAAGGAGTCAAAACCCAAGAAGCAGAAAACAGAAACTGGTTGTCAGCATAGATGGTGGAAATTGCCAAGAAGAGAGGAGAAGCTAAAGCAAAGGCCTCAGGGAAAAATATAATAAAGCATTTTTAAGATGTGTTATAAGAGAAAAGGAACAATATTCCAACATGTGTAAAGACACTGAAATGGAAGGAAAGTCTTCCAAATATATATCCAAACTTGGAAAGATGCTCCAATCATGAATCGATGCTAATACATAGATAGTAACTGATTTCAAGAACATCAAATGAAGATGGAAGGAGTATATGAAAGTTGTTTATGGTAGAGATGTCTACATCTAAAATATCTTTTAAGATATCCCCTATTTGCAAGACTCTCAAGTACTAGAAGATGAAGTCAGCTCAGAACTACAAAGATGGAAGGCTACAGGAACTGATGAATAACTATTTAATTATGACAACCAATTAATAAAGCTTCTAATAATGAGATTAAAAGAAATCAGCGTAAATACCAATGAAAGACTTCATAGAGAGCGCGAACTATTATAAGATATTATTAATCCACATGTTATCTATTTCCAGAGAAGGTTGCAGCAGATTAGACTTCATGGAGATATTTAAATTGTTTTTAAAAATTGAAAAGGGCCAAGAAACGATATACATTATTGCTGATGCATGATAGATAATTGAAAAAAACCTGAAAATACAAAAAATGAAGTCAATATTGTGCTGCATCAATTACAGAAAGGCCTTGATTTTGTTGAAGATGTGAAGTTGTGGAATATGCTTAGAAAAATTAAAATCCCAGAGCAGTTCGTCTTAATGAGAAATCTGTACACTGGGCAGAAAATCACAATCCAGATGGAACACATTGAAACAGATTGGCTCCAGGTTGGTATAGGAGTAAGATAAAGCTATGTATATTATTATTATTATTATTATTATTATTATTATTATTATTATTATTATTATTATTATTATTATTATTAAATTTATTTATTAAATTTGCATACCCCTCATGTCATTGTTTGGAGTGACTTTAGGTCCTGATTGTATACCCATCTCTCCTTTTTTATTCAAATTATAAATATAAATATATACTGCAAGATGCTGGATCTAGGAAGCATGGATTTAAAACTGGAGGAAGAAACATTAATAACATATACTATTTCTGGAAATGCAAATTTCTGCAAGCTCTAATAATGGAAGTTAATGAGAACAATAAAAATGAGACTAAGATTAAATATATAGAAGATGACAAACTATTGACAACAAGCATAGCAACCAACCTTAGAATTGTCTATAGAGATATTGAAGTTACTATCACTAGTGAAGTCTGCAGAGATTCTCAGTCATTCAGGTCATGGTCGTCAAAAAGATGCTTTTTCAGGAGGCAACTGGACTTTCTTGTTTTTTGTTCTGAAGACATTTAGCTTCTCATCTAAGAAGTTTATTCAGCTCCGACAGGATAGATTCTTCCATTCCCCATTATCCTGTCAGAGCTGAAGAAACTTCTTGGATGAGAACTGAAACACCTTCAAAACAAAAAAAACAAGAAAGTCCAGTTGCCTCCTGAAAAAGCACCTTTGGGATCATTAGTGAAGGAACTGGGATTCAAAAAATATGCCACAGATTAGCAATTGGTAGGGTAGAAATGAAGATAGGTAGCTTACTCAAAAGATCAGAATTGTGCAAGCAATGATATTCCCCTCTACGGAAACTATATGATATTCTATAATGCTTTTGAACTTTGGAAAATATCACGGATAGCCAAGAAATCTAACAAATAGATCATAGAACAAATCAATTCAGAATTTTGACTCAAGGTACAAATGACTAGGCTCAGATTATCTGTATACATTTTGTATACATTGTGCTAAGGCAAATAATGAGAAGTTCACTTGATTGGAAAGATGGGATGAATGAAAAGAATAGGATAACAAGCAGCAATGCAGATGTGGATTAAATTAGTAATGGTGCATTATGACTTGAATTGAAGGGCCTGATTTAGGGCAGTTTATGTGATTGCTAAGAGTTAGAACAGACCTGATGGCACATAATCAGTCAATCTGATTTAGCTAACATAGGGGGAAAACATTTTACTTATGATATGGGGACCTCAGTTATATTCTGAAACACAAACCACCATCATTAAACAGATGCTTAAGGGCAGAAAACATATTTTACAAGTGTTAAAAAATCCATTGTTGCCCATTATAAGAGAAATGTTACCGCATTCATTCCAAATCTCTAGAATAAATATCCAGCCAGCGTAGTAAGAAA